TTCCAAAAAAGTCAGTGGCGTAGAAAGTATAATTTGTTTGAATGTAGGGGACCAAATTTCCCAATTTCTACGACTAGTTTCAAGCACGAATTTTTTGTGTGTATAGGCAATGCTGTTAGTATTGCATGTGCAAAATTATAATTCAATATTTTAACAAACTCAGAAGATATCCTTTTTTTCTATTTTGAAATTATAACTTCAAGGGGTATTCCAGGGCCCATGTTTATTTGTACTTTTTGTCTTATTTTTTATCTATTTTATGCTTTAGAAATATTGTCACCGTCTCCTTAATTACTCTGTATAGGATTTCCCTTTTTTTCATATGCTGTATCCACGTCTGGGGCATCGGGGAGAGGCGATGTTGCCAGATGAACTACTGTTATAGCAGAGAATGAATGTCTATGGACTGATTGTATGAACCAGTTTGGCTGACTTTTCTCTCAGAAGGTCATGTTTGGGCTTAACATTATAAATCGATAACGGCGTTGCGTGGGAAGTGCAGAGTCAACCCATTTTTCCGTTAATGACTATTCCTATATGGGGTCCGATCCACGACGAAAATACTTCAATGACAGTAGAAAGATACTTCAGAAACACATAAACTGGGCATCGGAGCCGTACCCGCATGTGCCCTGCAATATTCAGTTTAAATGGAGCTTGTAATGTATTGAGGGCGTAAGGTAGGAACAGGTAGCCAAATATAATGATGAAAATCTTTCAGCTGTCGATCAGGAGCGAGTGGCAGCAGTTTAGCGTCAGCGGCTGCTTCTGGCTTTGACAGCCGTTCAGCGCACCTGAATGATGACCATCCAGGAAATTTCCATTGCGGCGATAAGCGCTCAACGGATAGGTATACAGGACCCTGCTGAAACAGCGGCCTTGTTTTTTTTTACACCGAAGCAGCCGCGCAGGCAAAGCATAAACGCCAGGGCGCCGCGACTGCTATGAGGAGCTTACACAAACTTTGCTAATCTGATTTTTGAACTGCCTAAGGTTAGTAGAACTGGGAAAAGCCTCCTCACATAGTTTGTTTCACATTCTCGATACACTAGGGACAAAGAAACGGTTGCATCGGCCTGGATGTACGTTGATCGACACGGTTAGGACGAGAGGCCGAAGTCAGGCAGGTTTGGTGGAGGCATCATGGAGGAGAGCTCTGAGGATCAAACCCTATCGGCGTAGCTGTAGAAGAGAATTAGGACGCCGAAGACCCCCTGATGCGAAAGGGTCCCGAGACTGTCCATTAGAGACGAGTTATCGATCAAGCGAACAGCTACAGTATCAAGTATGGATCATCTAGTCGGGGCGGCAGCACCCCAAAATTGTGAGCAATACTCGAGGCTAGGTCTTATCTGGGCCTTGTGCAGAGTGAGGAGGTCATGTGGAGAAAAGTACTTCTTAGCCCTAAACAAATGGCCTAGCTTTTCCCAGCAGCTGCCGCTATTGACGAGATGTGTTCGTGCCAGATAAACTGTTCGGTGATCTGGACTCTGACCAGTCGAAATGAACGGCTTTTGGGTCGGCCATTCATCGACACCAAATGGGTGCTTTTTGTTCGTCGAGGTACGGTACTGTATTTTGGAAGCATTAAACTGTACAAGATTTTTGTGTAGATAACCAGTGACAACAGGTCTCTCGTCAGAGAGGAAGTCGCTACTAGTCTTCTCTTCTCCAGCTCACCGGTAGAGATCGGCTTGTCACTCTGATTCCTGCAATTAGAGTGCTGTCATCAGCAAAGCTGTGGATTGGCGTTATCGTACAGGCAAGGAGGTCGTTGATATGTAAGAGAAACTGTGTCGGAGCCAAGACCGATCCTTGATGAACACCCGCGCTGACGTAGTGGGAAGAAGACGAGAACCCGTTAATTACGACGGATATCTTGCGGCCTGAAGTTGATACTTTTAACTATTGCATGAAGATTGTTGTTTGACGGCCACCTTGATTAATTACATCAGCTCATTCTGGAATACTATATTTTTACTAAATGTTGGCATCGATTAACCCATTGATAGGTTAAGGTCGCATGTCGCATTTCAACTGCCTGTTTGGAGCAGTATTCTATATAATTTTTATTTGATAATTTCATGGTGTGTTTAGAGGTGACTGAAAAAATGCAATCAATTTTATTAGAGGAGAAAACGTGACAACGACAACATTGAATTGTCATCTCAAGTAAAGTCGGTAAAAATAAAAACAGATTTTGCAATAAATCTGTTATGCGAAACATATGAATATGTGATAATTCCAAGGCCTGCCTAGGAAATTCTCTTGTTTTAAAATAACTAAGGTTTCGTAATGCAATGTATGGAATCAGAAACACCTGTGCAAAAATCCAATATGGCGTCCTTAGAAAAAATAAAGTTGATGCTGGGGAACAAGAGACAAAACGTCATATTGAAATTCTAATTGTGCCATCTTGTAAGGAAGAAAAAGTGACAATGTTGATGTAGAATTTATTTTAAAATATCACTATAAAAAGTCATGACAAAATTAAAACGTTTTTGGGAAAAATGGTTGTTTCCGTTTCTTTCCGGAAGTCCTTTGAACTTCGAAACTTTCTGAACAACACTTTACGTAAATACGCAAGTTTGCTCATATAAGTACACTATAAGCAACTTCGTACTGTTTCTCAAATAAGATACAATGGAACAACCTGTATATCTTTCCGGTTTTGAGTTATCCTTTTTATCAGCTTTATTTTGGAGTATATTACTCAATTTTTTAGTTATTTGCAATCTTCCAGAAACTACAGTTCAAAATAAATTACCACATTTTTCAAATTTAAGTCCATCTACTAAGAACCCTCTTACTCGATGCGCTGTTACTTATTCATTTTGAACTTAATTACTGGGAAACTGATGTAGCAGGACACAACATTCTGTGGAGCAGCCCTAAGTTTCTGCAAGACAAAGCTTTCCCAACTATAACTCCATCGAATCTCATAAAAAATTAACGTGTACCATACTTCTAAAGTAACTACTTCACGTTCGCGTTTTATGAGATATTTGGCAAGTGAATTATTAAAAACCAGTCAAAACGGAAGCTTTTATAATAAAAACTTGGCAGCAGCTCTTACCTGTTCCTAGAATACCAGAGGGAATAAAGATATTTCAGTGATAAGATGTCCTCGTCAACTAGAATATACGTACTTTATAAAGAAAGGTCAAGATCAACATGTGCCCGTAATGAAAAAATAACGGCCTCGTACGAGTAGATTCTATCGCCGCATTTTGAATAAGAACGAATTTTTAATTTGGCGATGGAATATTCAATATTTTTCCTCAAAGAGGTATGAAGTTTTAAGTGTAAACGCGCTTAATCTGATCCATAAGGGAGTTTCTAGGCCGTGACAATAATTCAAGTTTTAAGTGAATCGCATTTATGAAAGTCTTTTTAAGGATTTTAGAATATATTTATTCTAAACTTTTATTCATTTGGAAGATCCAGGTTCACAATTCTGTATTTATTTATACCGAAGCAGCCTAAATATCAAGGCACCGCGGCTGGTATGAGGAACTTAAGGCAACTTTGTTTATCCGATTTTTGAATTGCATGACGTTAGTAGATCTGGGAATAAACTCCTCAAGTAGACTGTTCCACATATACCTATAGACATGGGAGGACGAAGTCACGCGGGCCTCGGTGGTAGTCACATCGTGCAGCGTATTCAAGGACGAGAGCTCTGAGGAGCAAAGCCCGTTGACATAGCGGTAGACGAGTGCTAGACCGCCGACACCCTGTTGGTACAAAATGATCCCGAGTCTGTCGGTTAGAGAAGAGTCGTTGAGCAGTCGGACAGCCCTCCTCTGAACAGTATGGAGCATGGATATGATAGTCGGGTGAACGTTTGAGCAGTACTCGAGGCTAGGTCTTATTTGGGCCTTGTACAGAGTGAGGAGGTTATTTGGAGGAAAGGAATTCTTATCCCTAAGTCAATAGTCTAGATTTTTCCGAGCAGCTGCCGTTATTGACGAGATGTGTACGTGCCAGATCAAGTCCTCGGTGATCAGGATACCGATCAGCCGGAATCAACGGCTCTTTGGTAGAAATCGGCCATCCACCATAACCCGATGAGCGCTAAGGCGTTTCTCGGTAGTCAAGGTACAGTTCTGCCGTTTGGAAGCATTAAACACTTGATACCTTAAATCTATAACAAAACACACCGAAACACAAATCATATAAGGATAAAAGTGTTGGGCTACTGAGCTTAAAGTTGAAAATACTCGTATTATTAAGATATCCGTTTAGCATATTCCACTACTAGGATCATTCACTCGATTCCTAAATTTTCAGATCAACGAAATGCGCTAAACATGAAACCAATTTGTTTTCAGTTTGTCATCATTTGTTTAGATCGAAAAATCATCATACATAGTACGTTTTCAACCAACAAACTTTGTTTCTGATACCGATCGATGAAAAGTACAAGTTTAATAACTTTCGACCTAGTATTTCAAATATGTCCCATGAAAACTAGAAATATACATTAAAATATCGAGCACCATGCCGCTTATACCTAATTTGCAAACAAACAAGCCAGAATGGTCACCGTATTATTATATTCATTAGTTCCGCTAGGCTAGAGGTATCGCTCATTTTAGGACCCATCAATATCTATGATTATAGATTTCAGAGCTTGCCTCAAATGAAGTAAGCAGGTCAGGCTGTAGCAAAGCGTAAATTCCGAAACACATCACTTAGCGTCACGTAACAGCCAATTAGACTGATGTTGGTGGTTTCAGCTGGACACAGCTTCAGTTTGAACTTTACTGATGGCTTCGATAACTTTTGCTATTAGCTAGAAGCAATGAGACTATGGGCATGATATTGGAACGAGCTCTGTCTTGTATTTTAGAAACAAGTTATGCATATCATGTAATAGGTAAAAACTTGCAGCAAACAATCTAGGAAAACGTCACACGGCAGGAGCAACGACACTTTTTCGGCTGCTGGTCATGCTGTTAAGAGATTCAGTAGTAGATTGTAGTCAAACACATTTTCTAACGTTTGAATTGGCGCAGGACGTACACATGGACGCCCCCAGTGGGAGGAGGGGCAGGAGGGTAGTGACCCCCTCTGAGGATGAAGTCTGACCTTAAAAATTGCACATTTAGCAAGATTTTGCGTAGTTTTGAAAATTTTTAGGGTTTGCCTTGGGAAAATTTACTACCTGCCGCTCTTCAAAAAGTCGGCAGTAGATATACTTTCACAAAAAGTTATGCCTTGCCAATGATCCGCCGCTCCCGAAAAAAATTCCTACGTTGCGTTCATGGACGTACATGCTCTCATCATCTACTGATAAAAATTCGTATTACATCTCGGATACTGAATGACAATTAAAATTGAAAACTGATAAAAAGAAATTTATTTTTTTCAATTTTTTGTAGTTTCAGTATATAGGCCACATATTTTCACGATATTTCCGAAAGGTTATAAGCGAAACTACATGTGAAAATTCTTGAAGAAAAAGGCACTAGTATTCATAAAGCAAGAGAGGCAAGTGTCGACTTAACAGGCAATCTTTTGATCCAAAATTTCTCCAATGTTAAAAGGTGGAAGTCATCTTTCATGGACGAACAGGGTTCATTTTTAGTAATTCTTCCCGAAGAACTTCTTCTGGTAATTGTGACACATCGACAACAAACGGATTTCTTGTCATGTGGCATATTGGTGACTCTGAATTGATGTCTCGATAGTATCGGCGAAATTCATCTACCCGCGCTTCAAAATGAGTTTTTGTGTCAGCTTTTAAATTTGCGTCCAGTATGTTATTTTTTAAAGCTTCGAAGAGCCGAGAAAAAGATATAAGACTTTCAGAAGATACTTTTTGATTCCAAAGTTGAAGCTTTGATACGAACTCCTGAATGTAATCATAATTGCTTATTGTAGTGTCGTTTCTGCCCTGAAGTTTCAACTTTAGCTCATTCAAGCAGTCAAATATGACAGTTAAATAAGCCAACTCCCACTGAAATGTGTAATCTTTAAACATTGTCAAGAAATCGTGTTTTTCTTTGAACTCAAGGAAAAGAATTACCTCTTCTTTCAAGTCATAAAGGCGAGCCAATATGTTGCCTTTGGACAGCCAGAGTACTTCTGTATGGAACAGAAGAACTTTGTGATCAGAATCGAGATCCTCGCAAAGTAAAGTAAATAACCGACTGTTCAAAGCGCTGCTCTTGATGTAGTTTACAATCCTTATAGCCGAGTCAAAAGTCTGGCGTAATTTCTGTGGCAATGTTTTGGAAGCCAAGGCTTCCCGATGAATAACACAATGTGTACTAAGCATTGCGGGATTTTTTCCTTGAGCTTTTTAGCTGAGCCTGATCGTACATCTATCATTGTAGGTGCGCCATCTGTGCAAAGTCCAATGAGTTTCTTCCAATCCAAATAATTTTTTTCAACAAAATTTGATATTGAATTAAATACCTGTATCTTCAGATGTAGTACCTGCTGTCAAAGATTGGGAGTACAAAATCTCTTCTTGAATGATATCTACGCCGATGTAACGAACATAAACTATTGACTGTGCACAATTAACGATGTCGGTGGATTTATTGCAACTAATGGCGAAAAATGGCGATAATTTTACTTTTTTAGTTATTTGTGACTTTATGTCTGCTGCAATGTCAACGACTCTACGGTTGACTGTGTTATTCGAAAGAGAAGTAGACTTCATTTTTTGCTCTGCATCTTCTCCTAAAATTATCTGCGTGGCTTTAAGGACACATGGTTTCATTAATTCTTCACCGATAGTATGAAGTTTCTTTTGCTTTGCTATCATAAAAGCTATTTCAAATGAAGCTTTGGGATGCTGCGATACACCTGTGATAACTTCTGATAACTTCCCATTTTATCCAGTCTCATCCGCTTGAGTGATTCTGTTTCAGAAGAAAAAAATTATTTCGTCTTCAAAACCAGAGTAGGATGTTGTTGCTTCATATGCCTTTCAAGGCGATTGGGCCTCATGCTATCATTACTTAAAACTTTCATACATATCACACACTGAGGCAATTGTATCTCGTCTTTTTCTATGAAGGTAAATCCAAACTTAACGTAATCTTCGGAAAACTTTCTTTTTTTCGTTGCCATTTTGCACCTATAACAATAAAACAAATAAGTAATAAATAAATAAGCAAAATACTTCCATGTAATTACTAATTATATGCACATTATTCTATCTTAATAACGTATTCAACAGTATATTGGCCACCGGGAGATTTATATTTTTGTAGGCAGGTTGACGCTATAATAGTAATTTTAAATACATTTGGAATCAATATTAGGTACTTAAAGTTCATCTTTTCAAAATTATTCCGCCACGTTGGTTTGATTGTGATGTGGTAAAAAAAGTCCCAATGGCCGATCTATGAACGCGTCTCCACTCAATCAACAATTTAGTAAATTAAATAAAAATGGTAACTTTGTTGTAAATACACAAACTTACGTTTTAACAGTGAGACACAACAATTTGACACACAGATTTCTCAAGAAAACATGTACATCGAAACGTCAAATTTTTCGCAAGTTTGTGCAGAGGTTCGTCCGCGTCTGGTAGGTACACAATTGTTGTCCAAGCGATTTCATGTTGTGACTTGTCGAAACTTGTTTAAACTGTGATTGACGACGCCGGGTTTTGAAACAGCGGTTGACAGAATAAGTGAATGTGATATTTAATTCCTAATTTTATGCGTGTAAATTAAAAATTGCATTGTAATGTTATTTGTTAATGTTGTTTGCTTATTTTTTTATTTTTTCTTTTAAAATGCAAACGCTTTCCACCCCCCTTGACAACTCTCTATGCCTCATTTGGGAGGGCCGCCCCCCTGGTTGGGAACTCCTGGGATATAGGGTCAAACGTGTTTTGACGAAAATAATTTTTTACTGGCGCAATTTTACTCAAAAAATTTAGAAAAAATTGCAGATGCTACACTGTTATGTCCGACGCAGACGACATTTTTTATAGTTGTGTGGAACTTGTAGGCTCGAAAAAATTCTTGGTCATGAACTTCGAAAACTTAAAAATCCACTGTATATCAGTAACTTCTTGCGTTGTTTTCAGATCCACTAACAAAATCATAAATTTTTGACCGGACATATTAAACGTCGCATATCATAAGTTGCTTAACTTGAAACTCCAACATATACGAGTATATATGTATTTGCCTCCATTTTTTAGGTTCCATAATCAAAATTTTGATTTCTTTCCCAGAAAAATGCGAAAACAGGAAAAACCTTGCTGATTTTCTTCGATTTTTGGTCAGGAAAGGAATAGCTTGGCCAACCTAGCAATCCATTTATACGTGCTTTCCACTTCTGTTGGTAAAATGGTCGCTAAAAAGCGGAAAACGGATTTTTCATAGATTTTTCCAATCTCATAGACATTTTAAGGGATGGATATCATAAGTTCGCTAATTCCATCCACTTGTATTTTAGTACATTCTTTCAGGTTTCAATGTCAAGGTTGTGATTTGTTGCCCGGAAAATTGAGAAAATATTCCTTTCAAATTTTAAATTTGACTTTTTTATCCAAAAATACAGAAAATTCTGTATATAAGACGCCATATTTATTATCCCAATACGATAATTCACTAGTTGTGAATACGAAAATATTTTTCTAAAAAATTCCAATTTCAAGTGTGGCTATTCTTTCGAAGCCCATAACAGCAAATTAATGTGCCACGGAAAAAATCGAGTTGCTCTTTTATACCTGCTAGATATACAAATAGGCACAATATAAGCAAATTTCAAAACCTAACTCTATTTTTGAAGTCTGCCTCACATGGAATGCCTCTAAGGTGAATAGACCCAATATACCTGAGTTTGAATTGATCCAGACTTGGATAGGTTTGGGGGCAATTTCTATAATGTAGTATCGCCTACAACCTTTATACTGTACTGTAATGTGATTTTTATGAAACATTGTAAATGTTCCTTTAATAGGTAAAACAACACTATTTTTGTAGCAGATTCTCATAAAAAGTGTCAAGAGCTGCTATAATCCTTTCATCTTCATTGCACATACTGCCTCTTAGAACGGAATATATAGCTTTTGGAATACTTGAAGTTTATTATTTTAAATAAAATAAGGTCAAGATCAGGAATAGAATGATGACTTTGGATTTCATCTTCAATGTTATTTCACTCTTGTTTCCCCTCGTTTTGACAGCGCCACTCGAAAGAAATGAAAATTCTGCATCTGAATACGTATTAAAATCTAGGGTCAAGGTCATATCTAAAGGACAAGTTAAGTTCATATTTGTGAGGCTAGGGAAAATTCCTGGAAGTTTGACAAGAAGCACAGATTAAGAACATATCTATAGTAACCTTTAACAAGAATTTTAATGGTGACCTGGCACCCCCTTTGAGGTAATCTTAAAGTCAACTTTTGTTTCTATTCTGTTAACCCTTCTCTTTCACAGAAGCAAGGGGAAATTTTACTTTCCAACACTTTCTCAGCCTCAAATATTTGACCTTCATTTGACCGTTAGATGCTTGAGTACCACAAAGGAGTGTGCTAGGTCCAGAATACATTCCTGTGTTGACTGATGTAACAGTTGCAGCATGTCCAGATGATATAGCGTTAATTACAACTGACAAAGATCTATTAAGTCCCGTTAGTAAAGTACAGACTGCTACCAATAATTAAGTAAAATGGGGACCAAGAGGTGGGAAATTAAATTGAACGAATTGAAATCGATCCACGTTTGCTTTACAAACCGAAGATTGACAAATCCTCCTCAAATAAGCGTTAATTTTGACATTAATTGACCTTTAGAGGTGACCTTGATTTTAGATTTTAATGCATATACGGCCGTAGAATTTTCCATTCCTTAGATTATCAGTGTCAAAAAGAGGGCTTTCCATAAAAAAATGAACTTGTAACAACCTTGAAGGTTACACCCAAAGTTACCAGTGAACCTTTCGAAGCAGATAAATACCTGATATTGTCCTTTTCCAAAGATACATTTCTTAGCAAAGTATGGAGTTGTTCCATTACCTTTGTTACACTGGTATGCTGCGTTTAAAAGCCTTACCCAAGGTTGCAAAAATTATTTTCGTCTATCCACGATATACAGGGTGTCCAATAAGTACCACGACAAACTTAATAAAGGTAGGCTTTGGATTGACCTCCCAAATAACAAAAACTTACATATATAAAAGTGTCACCGATTTGAGATATTGCATTTTTTCATTTAAAAAACCTTTTCGTCTGTGGTCTTTAGCTGCATGTAGAAATAAGGTTATACTTTGTTCATTTGAGCATATAACTTCTATTGTACTTACCTGTCAGTGCATACTATATTGATTAAATTAATATTCAAAGCATACATATTTTATACAAATATATTTTTAGTAAAACAAAGTTCAAATGATTCAGAGAGCATGAAATGCTTTATCTCTAATATACATACATTCGGTTATGAACATACTTTTCATTATGAACATATTTCATTTTTTTAATCATTGCAATTAATTACTGGGTATATATTGGTTCGAAAATGTACAAATTTAACAATACAATATAGCAAACGTACTGTTTTTGCGTATATAGCCAATATAAAATAAGCCAATCATACTAGAGCAAATTTCGACAAAATAGTGAATATTGTAACCTGTATAGACAAGGACTGAAAACAAGAATGCTACCATAGCTTAAAGGATATTGTTTGTAAAAATTTTGAAGAGCCTAATAGCAGTATAATTGAAAAAACCTCTAATAGTAGTAGATTCTTCCACCTTTTTAAAAAGTGACACTGGTTTATGTGACATGTTGGTCATATGGTAACATCTGCTTCAGAGATAGCACTATTGGAGGTCTAAGCTGTAAGTTGTATACTATAGCTGGAAGGAAACGGCAGTGCATAGGTGCATAGTGAGCATTTGTGTGCTAGTAACCTGAGTTGATGATAATTGTGTTGATTTCTTGTCCCAAATACACATACTTGCATGTAAAGCTAGGAATTAGTTGCGCATCCACTTTGTGTTATTCAACCTGGAAATAACATATGCAATATGAATTTAAAAATGAGATAGATAAGAAATCAAATCCCTGGTTGGTGAAGCATGTTACAACTAACAGGTGAGAAAATATAATACAGACAGGAATATTCATTAAACTTGAAAACGCTATTACATTTTACAATAATTTTTATTTCCAGTTATTTACACTTTATGGAAATTTATTTTGTGATGTCAATAAGAAATACCGTGAAAATGTTTTGTGTGTGATACGTTTATACTAATTTTTCTGTGATGTGGCTTAATTACACACAACGCGGAACCAGTGGTGATTTCCCGCAATGTAATAGGGGAGTATTGTACTTTATCGCTTTGAACATAATCTCTTTTTTGAAGGGACAACACATAACTAACCCGTCTGCACAGTTAAAAGATATACTTTATGGGTAGCATATTCAGTAGTAATTTCTTCACATAGCAAATATCATTCAGTGATTTTATACACATGCAGACCAAAACACACAATATCAGCCAGATGCGGTCTTGCTACTCACTAATTTTCTGTCTGTCACATCTTCTACTAGATATACTCTACAGACTCGGCATTCTACAATTTGTCGTTTTTTGACATTATAAAGGTTTCTTACGTAATAACCCTGCTGAACGTTTAGAATACTAGTGAGAAGGTGTTTGCAAAGTGATGACTTCAGGAAGCTCAGAAGGATCATGGAGATCAAGAACTGGATACTAGACAAGAGTCTGGAATCGCATACCCTTGTGGTAGGGAATAGTCTGTTTGCTGGGAGGAGAATATCCATCTTT